CCACACTCACGCACCTGGTGGCCGCTCCCAGCTGCTGCCCCGTCTGCGCGTCCGTGATGTGCCAGTCTCTCCGCGTGCACAGCCGCCCGTCCTCAGCAAAGTACGTCTCAAGGCGCACCAGATCGCCCCTGGGTTTGCGAGGCGGCGCCAGGGCAGCGCAGCGCATTGACGGCGGCACAGCGCTGAGCTCCTCGCGCAGCGAGGCGGGCCGGCTGGCGGGCCGGTCTCCCTACCCTGCCGGCTGTGGACGGTCGACCTGTCACTGCCACGTTGCGAGGCCCCTGCGGGCGGCGCTGCCTGCGCCCGGCGGGCGGCCTGGCAGTTCCAGAAGAGCGTGCCGCGGGCAGGGAGGGAGGGGGCACACCGCCTCGAAGCGCGCGGCCGCGCCGCGCGTGCGCCCGCCTCACCACTTTGGGTATGTCTGCATGCGGATCTGCATGCGCGTGGCCACGAAGATGAGGTGGTCCATGCCAGGCATCGAGGCGAAGCCGCTGTCCGCGCGCCCCCACAGCGCCACTCCATGGTTGCCGCCGACCTCCTGCGGGGTGAAAGCGCGGGCCCGAGGGTGAGGGCGCCCCACAGGACACTCGCAGCGACACCCTGCAAGACGCAAGCGGGCCACGGTCCCCCCAACCGCCCGCCCCTCCTCTCGCCAGCGCAGCCCCCCCATCAACAACGACCCCACCCGGGGGCCCGCACCTGCAGCAGATTGGCGATTGTGATGATGTTTGCGCGCTGGTCCGGGCCGCACTCATTGCCCCTGCGCGGTAATTCAGAGATAGAGGTAGGATGCCACGAGGTGCGGCGTCAGAGCGCGGCCGCGCGTTAATGTGGCAAACGCGCGCGGAGCAGCAGCGGCGTTCGTGTGGGCGGGTGGCGCGCCAGGCATGGCCCCAGCGCACAGTCGCGCCGCAGCACCTGATGCGGCACTCCTCAGCGAAAGATGTGTTGTTGTTGAGGAACATGGAGGGCAACGGCGTCTGCATGGTGAAACGCGCAGCGGGCGGGATCACGGCACTCGTGGGCATATGACCGGTGCAAGGCGGGAGCTCTATCGGGCAGGGTTGCGCCGGCGCGGAGTCGGGGCCGTCCCAGCAAACGGCTGGCAGCATGCGCCTCAGGTGATCCCATGCGCGCTGCTCTGCGGTCCTTGCCCGTTGCTTCCCCGCGCAAGGGGCCCGATCGCCCGTGGGGACGCACATGCAGAACGGCGCCAAGATCACACTCAGCACGCTCCACCGTCACTGCCTCCGCGCTAGCCGCGAGCGTGCTCCTACATGCTAGACGGTTCCGCCTGGGCGGTGCTGCCGTTCTGCGTCCCCGCTGCTCGTGGCAAAGTGGCGCTGAAGGCCGCGCCGAATGCTGCTGCCGCTGTTGGTGGGCATAATGCCCTCTCTGTAGATGCATAACTATGATGCCAGCCCTAAACAGCCGTGCCCCGGCAGCGTTTGGGGCTGAGCGTTTCCAACTAAGGGGCGCGGCGTGCTTTGCGCGGCGAAAGTAATGGTCGGGCTTTTTCAGGGATAAAAGTAACTTCACTAGCCGACATGGCTTGCATTCGATGCGAGACGAGCGTTGTGGTGCGACTGCCGCAGCTAGTGAGCGGGTGCAGTGACACGCCCAAATCGTGTTGTATCACCGCGGTGTTCGAGATATTGAGGTCGCAATATTTATTTTACATCCTGTTTCCTATTCTTCTTGCTGGCATGGCTACCCCCACAGCACACTTGAAAATGGTCTAGCTTGGCAAGGCTGCGTGGTGGCCAGGGTGTGCGCTCTGCTGTGCGCTTGCTGATGTTGCTGGCGATCAACACACTGCTGGTCAGCATTTGCACCTGCCGAGGGGAAACGGGTCAATTCTTGCGGGACCGGGGAAGGGAACGGTCATCCATGCGCTGGCCATGGTCGTTGACAGAGGCATTCACCGGCGCTGCGCGGAAGCAGAGGGGGGAGAGCTTGATACCAGCGGCGTTCGACTCGTCAGTCCCGTTGGTGTTGCGGCGTCCATGTCATACTAGAAGGAGCGACGGGAAAGGACATGGGAGGGAAGAAAGCAAGCTATACTACAGTACGTCTCAATGTCAGCGCGACCAGCAATCAGCCAGGGAGCTCAGGTCAGCCCCCGCTTCCCCCATCATTCCCACCTTACCCGTGCCAGCCCATCATCGCCTCATGGGACCCAGCAACACCGCTTCCCAAACTCCTGTTTTACAAGTCGGCACGCCAACGCGCCGCCCAGCTTGTTGCTCCCACCCCGGCGGGGGCACGCCACACCGCCAGGCGCAGTCACCCCCATCCCCGTGGCAGCGCTCCAGTCAGGCGTGCCCCGTCTGCCGCCGCCCAGCCGCAACCCCCTGTGCGCAGCCCTCTGTGGGGAACCGACGCCCCGGCTGTCCGCCGGCTACCGCAGCGTGACGTCTCCATAGCCCCACGCCTCCCAAATTTTCGACTTCGTCGCCACGTCCGACATTTTGAACGCCTCCCCAGGGTTTGTGGGCAGCGCGTACTGTGCCAGCCCGCTCATGCCCGTCCACATGTACAGGATGCACATCGCCGCCGCCGTCAAGCCGCAGCCCTCGAGGTGTGGGCGCCGCATGCGACGGCCACGTTTGTGCTGCCAGCCCCACCAGTACTCGCGCGCCGCGAGCGCCAGGCAGGTGGCTGCATGCAGCGGGGCCGGGGGACAGCAGGGGGCTGGTGGGGCCAGTTGAGTGTGCAGGAGAGCTGGGGTGCGGCGAGAGAGCGGCTTCGTGGGGCCTAGGACCAACAGGCAAGAGTGCAGAGCCGGTGCGCCCCACTTTGGTTCAGCTCATGTTAAATGCTGCCCATCCGACCTTATGCAAGCCCCTGAATCAGGAGAACATACACATCAACAATCTTAACCGCCGCCTGCATGAGCTGGGCCCCATTCCTAGCCCGCGGTGCCTGCAGTGTCCAACTGCGGCTTGCAGCTGCTGCTGCTCACCCCATGCCGCCTTGACAGCCAGCTCCCCGAACTGGCCGTGCTGCATGTCAGACATGGCGCCGCCGCAGACCGCGAGCGTTGCGCCGCAGCCCAGCCCGACGCGCGCCGCCTCCGCGCTGCCGTGCGCAGCAAACGCGGCCAGGCCGCCGGCTGCGAGCAGCGCCCCGAATCCAACTGTCCACCATCGCATGGGATGGTCCCCCCAGTTGCGCAGCGGCCAGTAAGGATCTTCCTCCCGCCACCACCGGCCCCAGCTGCTGCCGCCGCCGCCCCCGCCGCCGCCCTTGCCGCTGCCGCTGTCACCGCTGCCGCCGCCTCCGCTGCTGCTCGCCTCCTCGTCGCCGACGCCACCGAGCCATTGGGAGTCCTGCTGGTAGTATTTCAGCCCCCCAGCGCGCCAGAACGTGTTCATGGGCGCCTCCTCCATGTCCAGCCACGCGGGCCTGAACCACTCGGGCATCTCGCCGTTCTCATACCGCTGCCGCGCGATGCTGCGCATCTCGTCCCACACTGCGCGCCGCAGGCGCCGTGTCGGGGTGCGATCGTTGGCATGTGCGTAAAACCAGGCCCATGAGCTGACTTGGCATGATGAGCCGATGTGTCTCACCATGCTGACCTTTCCCTGAGAAGCAGGCTGCTCTGTTTGCGTGATGCCCACAAGCAGGATACCGGTCAAACGTGCCACCTTGCAGGGCGACCACGCAGGCGCTCACCCCGCTGCCGTTCGGTGCGCTTTACGGTCTCGAAGTCCTTGTAGCCCTTGACCCCCATGCGAAGCTCGTTCCAGCCTTGCGAGGTCGTCGGCACGGGGTCCACCGCTGGCGGCGACGGCCCCTTCGGTGATCGCTTGTTCATGCCGTCCCACCACGCGCCCGCGTCGGGGGCCGGCTGCTGCGTCGATGCCCAGACGATTTGCTTTTGACGTCTGCTATTGTATCTACAAGATGAGGGAGGGCGTGATTGAGTCGCGGCAGCCGCAAGCATTGCTGCAAAAAGACGTCGATCTGTATCGCAGGCCACGTACCTCAAGCCCATTGTCACACAGCCGCTGCATCGCGCTCCCAAAACCCTCTGTTTCAGCTGCATGCCCGTGAAGGCCCCTCTGCTGTGTTGTCGATGCTGCATTGGGCCGCCACTAGAACCACAGGCTCTCTGAGCGTTTGAGCTGCCTTGATGCTTCAAACCAAACCTCGCTGACAGGCGGTATAGGATCCAAGAGGGTGTGACAGTCTGACCAGATCTCAAAACATAAGAGTCGCACTCAAGTTGTGATTCAATTGATTGTGTTTTCGGCCAGTGATTTTGTTGCATCGTCATGCTACACCACTTGTGGTCGCTTTTGTCACTTGGCACCATCCACTCTCACTGGTTGCAGCCAAGGGTAGAAAGGGCAGCAGCTTAGCGAGCGTGGGATGCTGAGATAGCAAAATTTTTCTTCGCATCGCGTGATGCATGCGTGTGCCGCTGCCAAGGGCAACGTGCGTGCGCTTGCTGCACGCTCGCGCAGCGTGGTGGACGCGTGTGCGTCTAGAGCGCATCCAGCGGCGCCGCGGCGGCTTGGTTGCCTCTGCTTTTCAACAGCTGCAGACATTGAGCCTGGCTATATAACGCCTCCGCCTGGCGGGCGTGGACGTGGCAGGAAAACGCAGCGGTTGGGGGCCCCCCCAGCACCCGGCGAGGTGGGGGCAGCGCAGCGCCAACGGCGGCGAACGCCTCAACCGCCAGCGCCACCTCAGCAGCAGCAGCAGCAGCAGCAGCAGCAGCAGCAGCAGGAACAGCAGCAGGAACAGCCCTGTGCCCCACCTCAAGCGCGGCCCCTGCCACAGGCAGTGAGGTCACCCGCCGAGCCGCCGGGATTGGCAAATCCTGCAGAAAGCACGCCGGGGGCCCAGACGGCCGTAACCCCCTCCTTGCCACCCAGATCTCAACAGCAGCAGGAACAGCAGCAGCAGGAACAGCGACAGCAGCAGCAGCAGCAGCCGGAACAGCGGCAGCAGGAACAGCAGCAGCACGAACAGCAGCAAGACGAACAGCAGCGGCAGGATGAGCAGCAGCAGCAGCAACAACAGCAGCAGCAGCGGAGAGGCGAGGGCCCTCCGGCGCAGCAGGCAACCCCATTGGAGGCTGAGCACTGGCAAGCGCCAGCACCTCCTCAGTCGCCAATTTCTGTGCAGCGCAGCGACGGCGACAGCAGCAGCGACGGCGGCGGCAGCCTCGAGGCACGTTCTAGTGGCGGCAGCCGCGGCGATGCAGCTGCGGCGGCACTGCAGCGGTTCGGGGCCTTCAGCGAAGCCGGGGAGCGGGCCGCGCTCCAGGCAGCGCGCGCGTTGGGGCCTGCGCCGCCCAGGCGGTTCACCGGCCTGGCAGGAGACCGGAGCCGCCCCTGGCAGAAGCAGGTGCGCGTTCATCACATTGCTGCTCCCTGCTCAGAGTTTCAGCGGCCTGTCGGGAGGGCTCTTTGACCTCAACCGCGGCCGGTGCGGCTTGTTGCAGAGCCGGCTTTTTCAGCACTCAGGATCCGAGCCTTCCTTTATGCAACCGCCACACGACCGCTCATGCGCACGCAAGGCAGCCGCGGCCCGCACCCTTCGGGCCTCCACAGCCCTGAGCTCCTCCCTTTTCTCCCAAGAAACGTGCTCCCTCGCCGCTGCGGCAGGTGCTGACACACCTCTGCTGCGAGCTGCCGCCGCCGGCCTGCCACATCTACTCCGACATGACAGTCCAGGTGGGCAGGACGACCCAGGCCTGCGTGACATCCAAATCGCGTCCAGGCAGCAGCCAGATGCGGTCATGAGCAGGCCCCATCAACCTCCACGCGCCGGTTCGGTTTTACATATCACAGCTACCCCGTCGCGCACCCACCACAAACTCGGGCGCCCCCGCTGCTGACCCCAAACCCGAAAATTGAAAGCACCCCTGCGCGCCCGCGTCGCGTAAACCGGCTGCCACCCCACCCCAAGGCCATGCAGCGGGTGCTGACGCAGCGCAGCGTGGCGGAACGGCGGCTGCGGGATCACAGGGAGGACGCGCGCTTCCAGCTGGCGCGCGCCAACGTGTGGCTCAAAAAGGTGCGGCGCTTGCCACAACACCGCCCGCCTGCACGGCGCCTGCCGCGGCCGCGCCCGACGGGGAGGAGGGGCCCCCTGAATGCAGCGCTGTGAGTCGGCCCTGCAGCTTCGCTTTCGAAATTTTTGTGGCACCCGAAAGCCAGTGTCACACAGCTCTGTGAACATCACAATCGCACATGGGCCGAATTCACGCAGGTGCTCGCCGGCGAGGATGTGAGCCCCTACGAAATCGAAGCCGCGCAGGAAGCCGCCCTGAAGCTGCGCGCCGAGGCGGGCGAGACGGCCGCGCAGCTGCGGGGCCTGATGGCCAAGGCGCAGGCGTACAGCGATTTCGATTACTGCGGCCACGCGGAGGGCCTCCTGGCGTTTCTTGATGACGTCATCGCTTGCACCGAGCAGCTGCGGCGGCAGCTGCTGCCGTACATAGAGGGCGCTCGCGACGCCAACATCGCGGCGCTGCACGCACGCGGCGCGGCGCCGCTGGGCGCCGCGGGCGACCGCGCGGCGCGCGACGCGCGCGGGCG